CGGTTTAAATTCCAAAAGATTGTTACTCTGTCACTAAATATAAATTCTTATATAAAAAATGTTAAGAGCTTATCAACAGAAATATTTAAAAATTCACAAAAGATGAAATTTGCTACTTTAACAAATTAACTCTACTTTTCCATGAAAAGGATGAACTATCAGTGGCTAACTTACCATGAGCAAAACCAACAGACATCCACAAGGCAATAAGTCGTGCTGTCTCGGACACCACAATAGAAAAAAATTCCTAGAACGTAATTTAAAAATTCTTCAGAATTTCAGCAACAGTGTTCTTTTTAAGGTCTACTGACAAGGAGAACCTGAGAAGAATTCAAAGGTGGGCCAAACAATAACTCTTAACCATATAAGAGAATGTTCGAGTAAGTAGAAGTATTCACCCAGAAATAATATAAAAGTTTCAGATGTGGTATTATAATGAGACTTTCTCCAGATCCAAAAAGGAAAGGGAGAGTGTTTCCACAAGAACAGAAAATCACATTTTTCTATTACATTGTGTTTACTTTAGAAACACTACTATACAAATACTTAGAGATCTAATTGTGAGAAAACAGTATCTGTAACAATTATAAGTGTTGCTCAAAACATAACATCTACAGTGAGGATATAGCATTATCTATTCTTTCCTTCTTCATGCCTTTCAAATAAAATACCTTCTTATTTACATACTGTTTCTTTCTCTAACAAAATGCTCAAAAAGCTCTAGATTTCCTTTCCTAACTTCGGTTTTTAAAGCTCTAAGTGGTAACCACTAATGTTGGCAGGCCAATGAGACAAGAGAGAACATGACCTTTCTCTTGAAAAACCTACCTTGTCATCTGCACTATTTACAACAGCTGGGTTTGGAAGTAACCTAAATGGCTACTGGTAAGGACTCAGCATAACGAGATGAAATGTCACCCTTCACAGCAAAATGGAAGGAGCAAGGAAGTATGGAAAGTATGTGCAAGAAAGCAAGTCAGAAAGATAAAGACAAATACTGGACATTTTCATAATCATGAGTATAAACAAGGCATTACAATTGGCAAAGCAGAGTAATTACACACCGGCAGGCATTCATAGACAAAGAGAGGTTTCTAAAGGAAGAGGGTTTGGGGAGGGAAGAACCAAGAAAGCTGCCTAAGGAATGGTGGGCGGGGTGGGAAACAAATACATCTGGGCTTTACAAAAAATTAAGTCTTTATTTAGCAGGCAGCTCTCTTGCTGCAATCTATTGAAAGTTAGTCCTGATGAAAGGATTTGGCAGGGGAAAAAAGGAAGTTTTGTTTCTTTTAAAGACCTGTTTGGACACTTTCAAGTTTCTGATAGAACGCACTCATTGACTTAAAAACAACAACAACGTACCACGTATCTATTAGGTTCTCCGACATCTACAGAGGGGAAATGTTCCCGTATGATGAAGTCTAGTAATGTCCTGGAGGTGAAAGGGAGACCCCAGTTAGTGTCCCTCAGCAGACAGCATTCCACATCCAACCACCTAAAATGTTCAGTTTTCAAGGTACAAGTTTTAAAATTAAAGGAATAAGGTTTTACTCCCAAAACAGCCAAAGAGAAATATTTCCTCAATGTCATTCAAAACTGAAAAGCTGTTTCTAAGGTCACAGTATAGTCACCTTATTAGGTCATAAATTCAGATGAGGCCCACAAACACCCATGGGTACCACCTACTGCGCCTGCCATGCCTACACCCTGTGCAGCTCTTGAGAAGAGAAGGGTAAGACCCATACCCAGACCCAGACCTCAAAGAGCACAGAGTCTATTAGGGAAGAGAATGCAACAATTGAAATATACAAAAAGTGAAAAGATAACAGAGCAGGAAATGATTATTTATACATGCAGGGTTCACAAACGAAGTGACCAAAAAGTGGCAATGCTTGAAGTTAAAATATTTAAGGTGCATAATGATCATATTATGTATTCTCTGCTCTATCAGACTATTCCAGCTAGTTAACTAAGCACTGACGTTGACTGCATTGGAGAAGAAAAATCCATTAAAAATTTAGGGGGGATCCTCTCTGGTAGCCCAGCAGGTTAGGACACAGCACTGCAAGCTGGCCACAGCAGCTTCAGTACAAGTTCGATCCCCAGCCCTGGACGTCACCCACATGGCATAGCAGACCTCTTCTATCTTGTCCGCTGCGCCCCTCAGCAGTGTAATTCCTCAATCTGCCTGTTGTGCTCCCCACTCTCTCTGGTGAATCCTCTCACTGCCCCTGCACCTCTGCCCGTACCCCAGTTCTGTATGTATAAATAAATAAATCTTTAAAACAAAAATTAAGGATTGTAAATATAATTTGGAGTGAAAACAATGAGAATGGATTAGAGTTTGTACTAAATGTAATGTCATGTTAACCAGCGAAGACATTTCAAGGGTGGTGGTCAACACTATACATCAGGGCCTCCCTGGTGGCACAAGGGGTTAAAGTCTCCGCACCGGCAAGCTATCACCAGCCTCTGCAGCATGGGTTTGATCCCCGGCCTAGGAGCTGACACATAGGGTGCAGCAGACCTCTCCTATTTCATCCCTGCTCCCCTCAGCAGTGTATTTCAGTAGATCCACCTGTTCTGCTTCCTACTCTTGTCTCTGGTGAATTGTCTTATCCCCCACCTTGAACCCACCCCCCAGTTCTTCTATGCATAAATAAATGAAATAAACTCTTTTTTAAAACATAGTTATTAATTGAAATTTTTTGTTTTACTGATAAGGAAACCAAAAATGGTTTCAACTTTGTGGTACATAAACAATAAAGTACATAAATAATGTTTAACTGTCTTCTATCATTTTAAAAAAGGACACTTTCTAACCTTAGTAAATCAAGTTCACCATGATGTGCCAAAATTTCTAATGATCCAATTCTAAACCAAGATTTTGCAACTCGCAGAACTACTGCCCCTAAAAAAGAAACATTTACTTTAGCATAGGTATTTTAAACAACGTAAATATAGCATGTGCTTCTCATAAAAATGAAATTATTTAAATAAATAAATAAAAATTACCAGAAAACAAAAAATTTACACCCTGCAAAGGGTCAAGGCTACTTCTCTTTCCTTAAGAATCAGAATCAGAATGTTAGAACTACAACACACTTCTGGAAACACCAAGGTTCCGATGCAGCAAAAGACTACAAACTTCAGGTTCCTGCTGAAGGGGTTTGACTACATGATACCTTTTGTGTCACATCAACTGTGACCTTCTTCCCATACCTTGTCCTGAAAGAGAGATGAATGATGCATTTCTATGGCAGGTGCCCTCCATTTGTGTCACTAATTGAAATTTAACTTCAGGGCCTCCCCAGTGATACAAGGGTTTTAAGCCTCAGCACTATGAAGCTATCTGCAGCATCAGTTCCATCCCTAGCCAGGGAGCTGACCCACATGGCTCAGCAGACCTCTCCTGTTCTACCTGCTGCCCCCCTCAGCAGTGTATTTCAGTAGATCCACCTTTTCTGCTCCCCACTCTCTCTGGTGAATCCTCTCAGTCCCTGTACCTCTGGCCTGCACCCCAGTTCTGTATGCATAAATAAATAAATCTTGGGGAAGAAAAAAAAATCTTATCAAAATAGTCACTTAAAAAATTATGCACTGGGCCCTCCCTGGTGCAGCGGGTTAAAGCACAGCACTGAGAAGCTAAAGCCACTGCAGCATGAGTTTGAGCCCCGCCCCAGCGGTGACCCCCATGGTACTAGTAGACCTCTCCTGACCCGCCCACTGTCCCCTCAGCAGTGTACTTTGTAGATCTGCCTGTTCTGCTCCCCCACGCTCTCTGGTGAATCCTCTCACTGCCCCTGCACGTCTGGCCTGTACCCCAGTTCTGAAATGCATAAATAAATAAATCTTTTTTAAAAAATATGCACTAAGTATAAAGAATAAAAAATATGCCCTTGGTGAATTACCATGAACGTCAGTAGAAACCTGCCACCCTGTGACTCAGTGGGGCTCGCAGGACCCAGGAGAGCTGAAGGGTGCCCACAGTCCTCAGGAGCTCTGCTTTCTAGGCAGCAAAATATTTCATTCGTGCTTTTCAGGTCCCAAGCTCCCCCGTGGGCCCCACTTCTGCCCTCCCTCTCACTGATGCTCTGTGGCACACGCACTTTTCCCCTTCTAAGTCCTTATTCGTAACCTCCCGAGAGTTGAGGGGGCATCTCACTGAACATACTGAAGGTAAAGTAAGAACAAGCGGGTTCTGAGGAGAGGTCTACGTGGTCCTCCTGGGAAGCGAGTATGAGCTGTAGTGTCCTCGCCAGCGACATTCTACCCGCTGTCCGCGGGCTTTACGTCACCTCCCCGACCGCGCGCACTGTCTGAAGTGCATGGAGCAAGCATGTAAGGACATGGAACCGACACATACAAAAGAGCCCGGGGCCGCAGCGTCTGCTGTGGCCCCCATTTCACGCGAGTGTCCGAAACACTCTTACCTCGTTCTTTCGCAGGGTTTCCATTGTAGAACTGGTCTCGCCACACTTCGTCATCACTTACAACCAGACTGAAACGGAAGAGAACCAAACATCACAGTTACACTTGGCTAGCATGCTAGTGTAGGGCCTAGAGCTGTAAGGAACCATGAAAATCACGCTGTGAGAAATTTATCTTCTCAGGTTCCCCAGGTCTCCGGAGATGACATGCTCCCGTCCTCCAAGGCAGCCTCAAGGAGGGAATTACCTGGCAGTTCTGCTCGTTGGAATCCCAAGATAGTGCATCGCCTCGCTGCACAAAAATTCTCTCACTGAAGAGCGAAGTACAGCTCTGCCATCACCATTTCTGTGGAAAATATGAGTTTTTAAACTCCGGGTATACTTAGGACAGCATCAAATTTTATGCAAATGATGGGGAGAAGTAAGAAACTATACCGGGAGTATGGGGTCTTTCCTGAGCCTTTTAATTGGAGCTCCCACTTCTCACCCTGCCTTTAAAAAAAAAACAAACAAAAAAAGCATTAAAAGATTCATGTTAATATTTAGCAGAAGGGTGATTATCCAGGAAGAGATGTGTACCTGTTCGTGTAAACTCCAATTAGATGGGCTCTTCCATCCCCAAGCTGATCTGCCCATATTCCAAACTAATAGGGAAAAAGGAAACTATTCAGGTTTATTGGCCTTCACAGCTGGTACAGCTCAGGGCTTTTGTCAAAATTGAAAGTGGGTACTGCATTTTAGAATTACAATAATCCATAGTTTAAATATAGGTTAAAATAAAATTAAATCAGTACAACTTATTTTAAAATACATGCATTTATATATAATTAATATATATATATAACTAATTTCTTCTTTTACCTTAAGTGAAATTTGCTGGAAAGAGAATACTTAGATCTATTTAATCATAGAATATAATGGGAAAATTTATTACAAGAAGCTCTGTTTACATTATATTTATGCAACATGAAGTCAGGAACACATATACTAGAAAATACTGCTTTTGAACTAGCACAACTATTTTCTTTTTTTTTTTTTCTGTTAAAATCTGTACACGTTTATTTCAATACTGTTATGCCACTGAGTAGCTGTGAAAGTTTGGGTTATTTAATCTCATTGATACTGATCTTTCATTTCTGCACAATGGCATAAGCCTTGTCAGGTTACTATAAAATGAATGTGCAAAATGCCTATACTATGTCTCACATACACAAGCACTCAAGAGAGAGTAACTATTTATCACCAGCCTTTTCCTCTTTTCGCTAACTTAGACATCTCTCTTCACCCAGATGTTTGTTTCATCAGAAAGTTTCGATTTTCCAGAAGAATAAAGTCCTTTCTGGTCTTGTAAATTCTCTAACTACTAACCTTTACCCCTACCACTCTCCAAATGTGACTGAAACCTGTTTACACCTCCCATGAGAATTAGCAATATGAAAAGGAACAGGTGCCATTTATCATGATAACCACACCCTAAACTTTCTTCACGATCTTGCCTTATTTCAAGAACATGCCTTATTAATTGCTTGAACATATATAACACTCCCACTTACTTCTTATTTCTCTCCAGCAGTTCTAAAACTTTGCTCTATAGATGTCTTAGCAAAATTATAATCTAATTTTCCCTCCGAGGCTTTCATATTGACACATTGCACCCCTTTACTTTACCCAAATCTCTTGCCAAAACTTCATGAGTAATAAATCACAGAGATTTTACCTTTGTAATGCCCCAGTTTCATTTTTAAAAATTTAGGCTACAGTTTTATCATAGCAAATCACAGCCGCTAATTTATAAATATCTTGACCACTACATCCTCTTCTAGGAAGGTCTTGTTAACGTCTCAATATGCTAAAACTGAAGAAGTTAACCCAGAATAACTTCTCTACTGAGAAAGCATTTTCACCAAGTTTTTTATTTGCTTAAGGATAGTAATGTGGATGTTTCTCTTACCTGGTGGCCACCGTATCTGTGAGCCAATGGAATGGATCCAAATAATATCTTTTCACCACTTACAAGCTGGAGAAAATCATCTGTTTCTGAGACAGATAAATCAAGGTCCAAAATACCTTCTAGAACTTCCTGAGACAGAAACAAAATATTCTTACACACTTAATCCTTTAATAACTTTTAAAGGGCTCAATAGAAGAAAATTAAAATAATAAGCCTCTGCCAAAATACACTTTTATACTTTTTCATGAGATGTACCAAGCTTTCTATGATTATTCATGTTATTTGAGAAAACCAGCTCTACTAGATCTAAAATTTTTATGTATTTCTGTGATACCACAGTAAAATAGCTTTAATATTTTTCCTAGCACATATGCTTTTAAAGAACTAGCAAAAAATAAATGTCCTAATTTTATGCCAAATTCATCTGCATTATGAGAATGATTTCGTATTAGAAACCAACAGTCAAAATTGTCTAAGATGAGAATTCAATTTCTTTGCCCTTTTTTGTTCCCATTAAAGTGCATTTCCCTTTAAGTATAGCTTTAAGAAAGTGAGTACTAGGATCCAAGAATAAGCATTAGAAAGTAATTTCTAAGAGTAAAATTCTCCAAGTACCTGTATTTTTTTTTAAAAAAGTAATTTATCAAGACTAGTAATATTAACATTAAAATTAATAAAATTTTAGCAAAAATTGAAGTATTTGTGTTCTGAAAAGATAAATCCTAACCTTTGAAACTGCTACAAGACGAGCTCTTGATTTGAAAGGCGTAGGGAAGGCAACTGAAAAAATACAGTTGTTCACTTTACGAACATAGTTCTCTTTAACAGGATCAACTGGCCACACAGCTGATTTTAAAAAAAAAAGAAGTCTTCTTAATGCTCTCATTTGTGTTGCCTATCCAACATTAATAATCCTTAGAAAGATTCTGGTTCTTCAAGTAAATAAAATTCAGCTATCATTTCCTTCATACTGTTATCTGAAGGCAACTTTACCATTTGCAACTATTTTCATAAACTACTATAGATGCAACTGTCTAAGAGGAAGGGAAATGGAAAAGTTTAAAAGAAGACATATACCATATCTTCAAAGAAGCTTCATTCACAGGAGACCAACAGAATGAGCAACATACTTATAAATAATATATAACAGATGTGATCCACATTACAGTGCAGTCATGGGCCACTTAACAGGAAAGAAAACACGTTGTTAGCAGCTTTTGTCACTGTGCAAACTCTTCCTTTGGTGTGACCAAGATGCAGCCCAGGGATACCCTTTTGTGTCAGGTCTTCAATCCAGGGCATTATAAGTTTCTTTGGGCCCTCCCAGGTGGTGCAAAGGGATAAAGTGCAGCACCATGAAGAGATCCGCAACCACTGCAGGACGAGTTTGATTCCCGGCCAGGGAAGATGACCCACTTGGCACAGGGGACCTCTCCTAACCCACCTCCTGTTCCCCTCAGCAGTGTATTTCAGTCAGTCTGCCTGTTCTGTTCTCCACTGTGTCTGTGGTGAATCCTCTCACACACACCCCACCTCTGACCTGTACCCCACTTCTTGTATGCATAAATTAAAAAAAAATCTTTTAAAAAAAAGTTTCTCATAGTCCTTTCTAGTATTTTTGCTAGTCTTGCTGCTTTCAATAAAGCAGATCCATTCACAGCTTCCTTCATTTTAGTCTTTAAGTTTGTCAGGATACTGGAATGGTGAGCATATCTACACCTGGTTTTCCAGGTCATAGTTCTTAGTTACTTTTCATTTCAGGCTCAGTGACTTGATGCCTCCTCTTAAAAGCGACATTAGCAGATTTGTGCACTTAGGGACCAGAGTGAACGTAACATCACAAGCCTAAGGAAGAAATGATGCTACCAGGAAGCCAGAGGTAAATGAGGCTGCTGGCAGCATAAATGCTACCACCTTACAAACATGTTTCTTGATAGAGATTATATTGCTATGATACTGAAGCCACCAATTATTTTAGTAAACAAAAGAGGTTCAAACAAAGCCCAGTGAGTTTTTTTATTTTAAGGAGCAAATTTAGAGTAATTCTGGGAAAATACACAAATATTTTTAGAGAGAAATGGGAAGACAATTTATAGTAAAATTCTATCCAGGTAACAGGTATTTGGGGACAACTGCCATATTTATGTAGTCTGTTGATGTATGACTACTGGAATTATAGTACTAACCAATTCAATGGAACCCAACCAAAAAATGTAGACAATCATTTTTCCTGCTCTTCAGAAAAATCACAATTAACTGAATGATAGCACAGTTTATTCCTAAAAACACAAGAAAAAAAGGAAGACAAAACCTATGTTTCTTGATAGAGGTTATATTGCTATGATAGTGGAGTCACCAAATTATTTAGTAAACAAAATAAAGTCTAATCAAAGTCCAGTGAGTTTTTTTTTTAAGGGGCAAATTTACAGTAACTCTGGAAAAATACACAAAAATTTTGAGAGAGAAATGGGAAGACTATTTATAGTTAAATTTACAAGAACACAATAATTAAAAATATTGTCCTCCAAAAATAGAAACAAAGATCAGTAAAAAGCAAAAAGAGCCCACATATTAAAATTACCTATATAATATTATGAATCAGTGGAGAAAGGTGGCATCATGCCAAATTGTTCAACTGTTTGATACACCTACTTATTCCATCTAAAGTTAATTAAACGTCAATTCTAACAGAAATAAGAGTATTTTTGTATCTACCCCACGTGAGTTTAAAACCCCCAGGTTTATCCCCTTAAGTACATGGTGAATAAAGTAGTACTATGAGGAAACAAATGGTTAATGACCAAGACCCAGGTGATTTCCATAGAAAACCTAGCATGAGATTATGAGTTCCAACAGTGTATTTTCTTTTTTCTCAAAGAGCCTCTGTACAGAAACAGAATGAATTCTATAATTAATACACTTTCTTTTCCAATGCCCCATTTTACTAGAGCCTGGGCATTGTATAATGATCCACTAGTAGCTAGGATTTTTGTACTAATTAGCACATATTTTGCTAAGGCAGTTGCTATATGTCCATAAATATGACCAGTGGCCATGGAACAAAAAAAAAGGCTGTTTCAGATTAAACCAACCCTCACTCTTGTTACACTTTAACCAACTAAACAGTCATAAACCAAAAACCCCAGGGAAAATTCCAAATATATGCTAACCCTTTATGATTACCTTCAAAGAGCTATCAGCAATTCCAAAATTAAATGATATAGAATTCAGATTTATCAAAGGATATGAAATTCACAAAAATTGCTAACCCTTCAGTGCAACTATATTTGAACCTTTTCTCTCAGTAAATGTTCTTATCATAGTAGCTTTGCTAATTCATTGTTCATTTATTAAGATCAGAGTAAGTTTCACAGAGTATTATGAACCAACACACAGGGAATATGTATACCGCATCATATATATATGTATACTCTCTCCCTGGATGTAAAATGTGGTTTGAAATTGACACTGTATCATTTTAACAGTGTAATAACACATAGAATGTGTCATAAGTGAAGTCAACTCTCCAGTGTTGAAATGCAACTTTGAAACTGCTAACAATTAAGATTCCACCTTTTAAGTTCATTCTTTTGCCGAAGTGTAGTTAAAAAGACCATGATCATGTCTAGCGCGTGTCCAAGTGGGTCTGTTCTCCATAGTTACTACACAGATCTTACAATACTTTCAGCTTCCTCCACTCATGCTCGTGCAAGTTAGTTCATCACAGTTTAGCAATACCATGTAATGTTGGGACGCCTCCATGAATTTGATGTTTTTTTTCACTCAGCCTTGCCAGATTATGTCTTTGAAGAGGCTAAAGTTTTGCTCTAGTCTGTATAAACAAGTCCTAAATGAAAATAGCCCGGCACAACTGGGCAGAGCTGTGCTGTAATTGTATGAGCTTGGACAAGATGTTCAATTCTTCTAAACCGCAATTTCCCTTCTGAACAAGGGCAAATGATAGCATCTAAGTCATAGGGTTACTACACAAATAATAGTGCTTACTTTGGCAAATTCACCCTTGCATATTTCTTAATATATAAACCAAATTTATATTAAAAAAATCATCTCTAGGTGCATATTAACACCCATTATCTGTAAAGTACCTAACATGTTTTTACATATTCTTCAAGAAGAGGGGTGGGGAGGGGTGAGGAAACTCATGAAACTGGCTTATGTTTTTTTAATGCGTATTCTATGCTTTTATTGAGTAAAAAAAACACTTTTAAAACAAAATATCACAATAATGTGCTAAGGAATTCTTTCACTCTTTAAAGCAGAAACCATGGTTTCGAAGAAAAAACCTCTTGACAATTGCAGTTGCCTAACTGCTGGTCTATTTCCTAAGAGTGAATGTCTTGAGGACAGCCTAAGTTTCTTCTCTTTTTGTATCTCTAAAGGGCTTACACTTTCTTTCACTGGCTCTCCCTGAATGCCAAGTGTTGAATGACTAGTCGTTTCAGGCATTTCTGCTGTAAATAAGTAATCTCCCGTTACCATAAGAAAAGTAGATGAGATTTACAGAGCTAAAGTGAAAAGTAACCCATACTGGGTTTCAACCCTGTGCATTCTCCAGTATCCCGAGTTGAAGACCGAGCAGCTTCCACGTCACCAAATCTTAAAGCTCCGGACACCCAAGGATGGAAATCGCATATGCAGATGTAAGGAAGACTACCAAATTATGCACAGTATACCTAGAAGATGTTCAGAGGAGAGAGTCCAAAAGCTGAGAGACGAGGCTACGCTAGCTTCTCTTTCACAATAGCCCTGATCGGAGTTTGACTCGTTACTGGAAAGGTGTAAAAGGATGCCACTTCCTTCTAGGTCCGGTCGCAAAAAGCAGCCCGCGACGACGTGGCTGGTCACACCCAAGAGAACCAAGTGCAGAAACCGAAGCCTCGGGATTAGGCAGCACAATCGGAACCCTATTCTTTGAGGCATATCTCTGCCTATAGGGAAAAAAACGCAGAACAAAAGAGTTAGTGGCTCAAGTCCGACGCCGGGTGTTGAATCTTGCTGACAGCTGGTACCCCAAGGCACGCAGCTGCTGGAGGGGCGCGCTCAAAACGGGCAGGGAAGGGCCGGGAGAGTCCGTCGCTCGGGCCAGGACGGCCCAGCCGCCGCGACCCTTTCCGCTGTCTCCCGGGGCTCGCCGGGGAACCACTAGGTTCGGCACGGCCACCCCGAGAGCGCGCCGACCGCCAGCCCCGGGAAGCAGCGAGCAGAGGCGCCCCGGGTGGGGCTGGAGCGCTTCCTGTGCCAGGTTTCCGGCTCCGGGTCTCGGGAGAAGGACTGCCGGGTCAGAGGCGGAGCTGCCGCCCCGCCGCGACTTTCAGAGTCGGACCATGGCCTCGTGCTGGTGGCGGTGGCGGCGGAGCTGCTCCTGGAGGCCGGCGGCGCGGAGCCCGGGGTCTGGCTCCCCCGGCCTTGCGGGGC